CATTGCGCAATTTAAGTTTGGCGACTGACGGCCGACGGCAACAGTTTGATCGGAATTGGAGAGATTGTCCTCCTCCCCTTGGACGTCCTGAAGATCAAGAGACAGACCAACCCCGAGGCCTTCCGCGGCCGTGGTGTCCTCAAGATCGTCGCCGACGAGGGCTTCGGCCTGTACAGAGGATGGGGCTGGACTGCCGCCCGTAACGCTCCTGGTTCCTTCGCGGTATGTACAACACAAACCTAGCATGGTCAAGGCACATGGCTAATCGCAACAACAGCTGTTCGGTGGTTCCGCCTTCACCAAGGAGTACATGTTCGGCCTAAGCGACTACAACAAGGCCTCGTGGTTCCAGAACTTCATCGCCTCCATCGCCGGTGCCTCCGCATCTCTCCTCGTCTCCGCTCCCCTCGATGTTATCAAGACCCGTATCCAGAACCGCAACTTCGAGAACCCCGAGACCGGCTTCAGGATCATCTCCAACATGATGAAGAACGAGGGTGCTACCGCCTTCTTCAAGGGATTGGTCCCCAAGGTAAACAGACACTCCGTTCGTGCCTGGTGTTGTGCATCAGCTAATAACTTGCCTCTCTAGCTCCTCATGACTGGTCCCAAGCTGGTCTTCTCCTTCTGGCTGGCGCAGACCCTTATCCCTGCTTTCGACAACATGCTTAAATAAATAACACTAAACTACATACAAAGAGCCTCGACGAGGCACGGCGTTTGATGGATAGACGAGGAGTCTGGGGTTGAGCCTGAAAAACAAAACGGTCGGTTGCGGCAAAGACTTCAACGACAAAAGGGTTATAGATGAGAAGACAAGAGACTTGCGTTAGCGACCGCCCAAAAGAAGGTGGGTTCGCGGCCAGATAATGTACAACAATTAGGATCCGATCTGATGAAGAAAAATCACCTCTGTTTTAATAAATACAAGAATCAAAATAACGACGTCCATTGCCCCGGAGATTGATCTTGAAGCCCTCGCGCCAGGACTTGGTCCTCAATAAGCTCCCAATCTTGCCTCCCAGCCTGGCTGTTTCGTCTGGCTCGGCTTTCGATAGCCTGACTGAATGATATGGTCCGCGGAGATTTGGAGGCCCTGAAGGCGAGCTCCAGTCGCTTCAAATGCCCACAAGGTGATTGCGACAGTGTTCATGCCGTTGTAGTTTAATATACCCTCTGGAACAGGAAAGCGAGTCTGCGGGCCGAGATGGTTGACTACACAGCAAGTTAGTTATCCCAGATTCCCAGAAGATGCGGAGGTTGTAAAGGCCATGATCTTACCGTATTCACCAAATTGATACCCGTTCACAAACAGCTGCGTTCGGAAGATCGCCGGCTTCCCCTCGCTCGTCACGTTCTCGAACACAAAGCTAAGCGGGATATCGTAACCAGCCGGCATATCCAAGTCAAATGTCGTCGTATAGAATTGAATGCCCGCGCTCGTGATACCCTCCAAGGGGGACGCAACCGTCCAGTTCGAAGACGGCGCGCCGGGGAGATGATACCCCTGCCGCTCAGCATACATCGCTCCCTCATTCAGCGGCCCTCGCGTCTTTTCAACGTACTCCTCGCCTCCAAAGTTCCCGGTCAATTTCCATTTGATATCAGACTGCTGGTGCCCGGCGAGAGAGTAGTCGAGGATCCCGCGGGGCGTTTTCATCGCCTCGGAGTGAACGTAGAAGTTCATCGGCATACCCATGTGATCAATCACCACAGTCAATATGTGATCGCTTCCTTCATCCAGGGGTTGAAGTTGGAATTCTTGGGTGAAGTTGGACACGTGCGGGTCCCCATTGAACGAGCCGACAAAGTTATTGTCGAGCCAGATCGAATGTCCATATGCTTGTCCACCGGAAGTGGTGATGTTGAAGAGGGACTCGGCGCCGGAAGCGGTGAAGTGACCGCGGTATATGAGGGAGCCGCCGTGGTAGCCGTATTCACTGCAATAGAGAGACGTTGGGGTTGTGAGATTTCGTGGGTTGTTGGACTGGGTCAAGGACGCCGGCTGCCAGGCGGAATCATCATAGTCGGGTTGGATCTCAGGGAGAGAGTTGATGGAATGCCATTTCAGGGACTGAAGGTCCGGAAGTGCGAGGTCTGGTGTTTGAAAGGTGATGTCGGCCTCAATTCGTCCGCCAGTTCGTCGGAGAGGCTCAACAGGCTGGCCGTTGAAGGTAAGAGAGGCATTCTCGGGAACGCCGCCGAGGATCTCCAGCGTTGTGGTCTCGTTAACATCTCCAGTCAGATGGAGAGTGTTGTCGGAAAAGGTTGCGTTGCGCACGAGATATGGTCCTCTGACAATGACAGAATCTTCGCCTTCCCTTGGCGAGATGACTCCCGTCGCCGGGTCGGGGAGATCAACAACCCAGTGCTTATAAGCGTCGTTTCTCCAAAGAAGATGAACCTCCAGACCGTCAAAGTGTACAACTCGCCGAGATTTCTGGACTTTCCAGTGAACAATACGCAGTCGGTCAATCTCGTAGCTCGTCACATCGGCCCCGTCCTCGAAGGTCGGCTCTCCCAACGACGACGGTACGGCAAACTCATGTTCTTCGCCGTCTCCGCCGTATAGAATCAGCAGCCTCTTGTCTTGATACTTCTTCCAAGTAAAGATTTCGCCAGAAGAGTAAACCAGATTGACACCGCCGACGTCGTAATCCGTGACGTGGATCTTTGAGTCGCGCCCGTGGAGGGACAGCTCACCGCCCAACATTGGAATTGTCACATTGCCGTAAGTCGTGGGCACACTGAACGTGTAACCAGTTCTCTCGAAGGTGTCGTACTGGACATGACGGAGCACATAGAACCGCGTGTCATTGCTTGACACTGGGATGACTTGCAATTCAGGGGTATTGACAAACTCCGACGTCGTAGCATTTTCGGGTATGGAAGTCTGGTAGGCCTTGGAGACATGCAGCCAATGCGCCTGGAGCTTCGCCTCGCTGTATTTTTCGCGATCGATGCCGCGGTTCTCGCGGATAGAGGCGCCATGATCGTAGGAGGTGTAGCCCTCCGGGTGTCCCATATTGCCCCAGTTTGTGCCGCCGAATGTCTGCTCGGTCTGTCAGGTCTATTCTGAAGGAAATAGACTGAGGGTACTGACTTACCATGTAGAGGTTGAGGATTTTAATAGATCGACCAATGAGGTCTTTAAGGAAGACACGGGCGAAGTCTTGGTTGATTTGCGCTGCACACTTGTCGAGTCCAACGCCACCCCTGTATCTGTTTAGCTGTGTTCCCGATTGTAAAGTGGCAGTGATGAGTTCGACCTACCAAGGGTCGGGTGCGCCGCCTTGGTACTCCAAGATTGCGTAAGGCGTACTCGGGCTTTGTTGGAAATGGTTCTGGTAGGTGTATGTAAGACTCAATGGGGTCAGGGATGTCCAGTTCGCCGGGTCGCCACCTGGGAAGCGAGTCAGCTTTTGAGTCTATTATCTCACATATTGGCAGACTCACATCCCCCGTAAAGGGGGTATGTGTCGTGAGCATAGATATCCAATTCCCCCTCGCCAGATCCAGGTGCCCAGTTTCCCAAAGGAAAGGCGTCGTTACTGATCAGGGGTAGTCCAATACCATTTTCCCGGAACTGGTTCTTCATAAATTCCATGTATTTTGGGTCGAGAACTTTGTAAGACTCTGCGATGTTCGGTATGTTTGCCAAGCTGTACTCGTTCTCTGGCTGGACCAATATGACAGGGCCCCCTTTTGTGACCTGAGCTGCAGAAATGACTTCCAAAACCTTGGAAACATAGGTAGAAGTAGCGTTGAGGTAGTCAGGCGCCATGGATCTCAACTCGCCCTTGTTTCGTTGGAGCCATCCAGGGAATCCGCCGCCAGACAGCTCCGAGTTGACATATGGCCCGGGCCTGGCAATGAGATAGAGCCCCGCTTCGACGGCGGCGTCTATGAAGGGCTGCAGGTCAAAGATTCCATCCATGAGAACCTCTCCAGGATGACCTTCGACAAGGGCCCAGTTGACATAGAAGGAAACTCCATTGTAACCCAGAGCTTTGATTTTTTGGAAGACATCGAGCCATAGGCCTGGAGAGGGGAGGCGCCAAGGATGGAACTCCCCAGACATGATGATGATTCTTTCGCCATTGATGAATAGGGAGTGGTTGTCCCACGTCACTACATCTTGACTTGGGGCCGTGCTGTTTGCTCGGGTGATCAGAGCTTGGGCCCAGGGGAGTAGCAGGAGAGCAAGCAAACTGAAGAGATGAGGCCTCATTTCAACGATATCACGGCGAAAGATTGGCGATGAGGTGATAGGTGAAGAGAACGTTCTAAGAAACCATTTTCGGGGGTTGCAGATGGCGAACACTTATACTTGAGAGGTTTTGCTGATTCTTTCCCTCGCATGGTGCAATTCTTGTCTTCTCTCCATGTTCAAGACGGGCATTCTCGATCGTGGATCGAAAAATCAGGAAGAATATCCGCGTACAGCTAGCTACTCTCATTGACCATGGCTCGAGGGTTATATTCATCATGCCGTGCGATGAGAAGAGCTGGCTCCGCCTTGGTGCGCTTCTCAGAGGTTGACTGAGGGTTGTACCTCGTCATAGTCTACCCCGAGAAGCAATGATGCCTCGCTCAGCCACCAAAGCGGTTCGCTTTCGCATTCACAATTACTCGACATTTGATTGTGGTGTAAGTCTGGAGATGAAATTGCGGGGTAAAAGTGATTGGCACGGGAATTTACGAGTATATGTCGGCATTTGAAGCCATACGCGTATTCGGATACATGCTGCTTATTGACCTTTGGGGTCCACAAGCTACTCAGAAGTCGTTCTTTTCGGTGCAAACTTGGACGAACTCTGTCTTTGTACGCGGGCAACTCATTACCTCAGAGACACGAAACGCGGTGTAAGAGCCTACAAACGTATTTTCCGCGCCAAAGTCTTATACGACATACGCAGAGACCAGTTCTGCTTTGTCTTAACTCCAAACGCCAATTAACAGTAAGAGAATGACATTAATGATAGAGCGCGTGAGACGAATCACTCCATCCAAGTGATAGTTTTGTAGTACATAAACTCATCCAGCCCTTGATATCCATTGAAGCGACCAAAGCCACTCTGCTTTACTCCGCCATGAGGTAATGAATACTCATCATGAACGGTCATTGAGTTGATGTGAACCGCACCAGATTCGAGGGACTCTCCAATGCGAAATGCCGCTCCAATGTCTCTGGTGAAGATGGACGCGCTGAGGCCGTAGTTTGTGTCGTTGGCAAGACTCACTGCCTCGTCTTCGGACTTGAAGGTAAAAAGGGACACACTAGGCCCAAATGATTCCGTCTTGTATAATGTCATTTCCTTGTTTACATTTTTCAGCAACGTCGGCGCCATTCGAGTTTCGGGCAGTCCGCCGAGCTGCTCTTTCGGCGTCATAAGGGGGGTTGCGCCCTTCGACACTGCATCCGCAACCAGATCCCGGTTTCGACGCGCCGACGCCGCTGTGACAAGCACAGGAGTCGAGTTTTTAGATACGAAATGATCTTTGGTCGCAACCACAAGAGCCTTGTGGAAGTCATCCGCTACGGACTCGTGAACAATGATACGCTCAGTTGACATGCAAATTTGGCCCGCCTAAATTTTCCATCTCTTAGCGACTACTTCCCGATTTGCGCGCGACATGAGTACTTACATTCATAAAGGCACCTTTTGCGCAATGTAGCGCAGCGTGGTCAAGGTCTGCATCTGGCAACACGATGGCACTCGCTTTGCCTCCGAGCTCCATTAAGACAGGCTTGAGATGTCTGCCAGCCATCTCCGCAATGATGCGCCCAACTTGACTGCTTCCTGTGAAGTTGACCTTCTTGATATCCGGATGACTGACTAGCTCATTAATGATAGCTGGGGCGTCCGAGGGCGCGTGAAAGATGAGATTCAAACACCCCTCAGGAAGACCAGCCTCACGAAAGACGTCGGCAATACCCCAGTAACATCTAGGCGACAATTCTGCTCCCTTCAAAATGGCTGTATTTCCTGTTGCCAAGGCAAAAAGAACGGACCTCAATCCCAAATGATATGGAGCGTTCCTAGAGACCGTCAAGTCAGCAGGGGATGGAGTCATCGAATAGAATCAACTTGCCATGGAGCGATTCCGACATTAACGCCATACGGCCTTTTGCATACCATGGCCTTCATTCCTTGCAGGCTAGATTCTGGTAGAACGCCTGAGACTGCTCCTGAAATCCTTCCGGCTGTGTCCTTGAATCCTTCGATGGCCAAGCCCAGAATGAAATTCTGATAATCTTGCTCAGCACCAATCTCATGATGCATGTAATCTCCCAGCTCATTCCTTCTATTATCCATGATGTTCGCAGCATTGAGCAAAATATCTCGACGGTGAGATGCCTTAGTTTGAGACCAAAAAGGAAACGCATCCTGAGCACTTCGAATTGCGTCTCTAACATGTTGTTTCGTAGCACAAGTGTACGACCAGATCTTTGTCCCAGTCAAAGGGCTTATCACATCAAATCGAGTTTGGGTTTCGATGTCCTTGCCGTCGATGACCAATGGAACATTTGTGTTTGTTGCGAAACATCGCCGACCTTCGCTCGCCAGAACCCTGCGGCTGGAGGGACTTATCCGTGAGATTCTTCTAAGGCGTAGCATAATTGTGTGAGACCTGATGCCCAACATACCTGGAGTAGCCAGTTCAACAGACAGAAGTATACACCCTCTATTTACTACAGCAGCAGCGTCATCGGATAATCTGACCAACGGAACTGCATTTGCATTGTTTGGAAACTCGTGCATGGGGTAGGATGCAGGTGGCCCCACCTTCCGAGGGTGTTTCCGATGATATCAGGATCATTCCGTTGCCGTGGATTGCATTTACACTAGTCTAGCTGCTGTAGCATTTCGATCGCGTGTTATTTCCATTCTAAGATAATATAGCCAGCCACCATTTCCCGATTGCCGTTCCTCCTATTCTGCTTCGATAAGGAGGTCCAAGCATTACTGCTAGTAGCTTGGCAGGAGAGGAAGGCATCGATACCTAGCGAAGCATACAGCAGAGCCCAGGAGGAACGTGATCTGAGTCTTACTTTGCACCGAACTGAGGTTTATCTGACCAGGAAAGGAACTTATGTCTATGAAACTTCACAGGAAAAGCAGGCATAAGACGTAACACGAGTGTTGATGTCAATCGCTGTCTAACGACACACATTTCTATTTAAAGCTTGAATGGATTCCTGAGCATTAGCAAGTCCCTGTCTCCGCAAATACTCTTCGGCAGCCAATTCTTGTTGCTGTGGTTTTCAGTCCAGATGAAGACAGATAAACGACATGATGGGGACAGTCTCGTCCGGGCAACCTCGCCAAGGGCACCAGAGAAGGCTACCAGTATTGATGACGAACGTCTAGGCCAGCTGGGGTTCGAAAGCCAACTGGATCGCTCGTTCTCCCTCCCCTCGCTGATAGCTCTTTGTTTGTGCTTGATGGGCACTTGGGAGGGATGTTCCAGTGTCATCGCTCAGGCGTTGACAAGTGGAGGGGCGCCATGCCTTCTGTACAACTAGTAGGCCTTCCATTCTATCACGCTGGCTAAGCTTACGCTGATGTCGCTCCTAGCATCTTCACCTTTCTATGTACTATCGCAATTGGGTTATCTCTCGGTGAAATCGCGTCCATCTATCCTACTGCTGGTGGTGAGTTCCGAATTACAGATGAACAATCGCGGAAGCAACATCCCCTGACCTTCACCGCAGGACAGTACCACTGGGTCACCGCATTATATCCGGTGCGAGGGAGAAAGTTCATAGCCTGGATGACCGGGTGGACCACCATCGGAGGACAGATCGTTCTAACAGCGTCCATTGCCTTTGCCTGTGGGCTAATGACCCAGGCACTCATCACCATGAACTCCCAGAGCTACAGACCTACCCGATGGCAAGCTCTTCTACTATACTGGGCATTCTTGTTCTACGGAACTACCATGAATCTTTGGGGCAGCAAGCTTCTGCCTACTGCCAACCTCATCTCAGGCAAGTCGACGGCTTCATGACTGACTTAGAGATCCAGCCTCTGACTTTTTCCTTTGCTAAACAGGCGTAATGCATGTTGTCGGCTTTGTGGCTATACTTGTCGTCCTATCAGTCATGTCCGACAAGAACAGCGCTTCATTCGTCTTCACCGAGGTCTACAACGAAACCGGCTGGTCGAGTGACAGCGTTGCCTGGCTCGTAGGCTTGATCAGCACGGTATACCCATTCCTCGGATACGATGCTGCTTGCCATCTTGCAGAGGAACTTCCCAACGCTGCCCGGAACGTGCCGCTTGCGATGATTGGAAGCATTGTACTCAACGGGCTCATGGGGCTTGTGTACGCCATCATACTCCTCTTCTCCACGAGCAAATTAGAGGGTGTTCTCGCCACACCTCTCGGTTCTCCGGTGATGCAGATTTACCTTGATGCAACCCAGTCCGCCGCAGGCGCGACGACGATGTCGCTGCTGCTCATTGTTCTAGCCGGAGCCGCTTGCTGTGCCGCGTTAACATCAACATCAAGAACATTATGGGCGTTCGCTCGCGACGAGGCTGTACCTTACTCGAAACTGATCGGACGAGTGGATCAGCGGAGTCAGATTCCAGCAAATGCGATCTATGTTATTCTGATTTTGCAGATGCTCATTGGCTTCATCTACTTGGGCAACTCTACCGCCTTCAATGCTGTGCTCTCCATGGCCATCATCGGTACATACACATCATATGCTCTTCCTATCGTCGGCATGCTTCTCAATGGCCGCAGAAAGTTGAGCGTTTCCGAGTATGGGCCTTTCAAACTGCGCGGCTGTGTTGGGCCCATACTCAACGTGATCGCTGTTGCGTTCATGGTACTCTCCATCGCATTCAGCGCGCTCCCCAGCCAAATACCTGTCAGCTGGGAAACGATGAACTACTCAACTGGGGTCATGATCGGGTGGTCAGTCTTCGGGGTATTGTACTACATTTGGAAGGGAAGAAAACAGTTCCGGATCCCGATTGTTTTGACACCTTTGGATGGCCAGTTTCCAGGACATAGTGGTAGTGCTTAGGTAGGACTAAACATCATCAGAGACTTCTGCAATGCAATCTCGTTCTTTGAATGAACAAAACCAACTAACACTGTCCAGGTGATGAGGGATTATTAGGAAAAGCGACGGCTACCACCAGGGCAGCGCGTAGAAGATACCTGCTGGAAATGTTATATGTCACATCCATATCGGTTGTGTTTCACTTCTTTTCTTTGGAGCTACACTGCTCAAAGTACATTATGATACATTGCAAATGCAGTGTCGTGCCCTACGTCATTCGAATTCAGCGTCTAAGACTTACTTTCCCCATCTAGTCATGCGAGGCTTGAAAGATATTGAGGACTGACGAAATACTTCAGTTCTCCGTCGCTCGTTCATTTATTTAGTAACTAGCGGTACTCATTTTTCTGCGAATGAAAACTACAGCTTTTGGCTTGGACCAGACCCTCGACCTCCCACGGCATAGAAAGTCATTTCCACCTTCGCCCCTCCATACAATGCTGGAACGGTGACACCGGTTTCCACCGGCGCGCGGGAGCTCATATACTTCCTCTTCATCTCTCTCCATATCCGAACCAGTTCGCCATCAATCTGAAGGGCGTAGAGCGTGATCTGATACACAGACATGAGACCATCGTCGACTCCAGCGGCACGCAGTGTCTTTTGAGCGTTGAGCAGCGTCATTTCAATCTGCTCATCAAGTCGGGGCGATATTGAGAGATCTTCATGGAAACCGCACTGGCCCGAAGTGATCACAATCGACGCGTTGGCGGGCAGACAGACCGCCTGAGAGATTCCCAGCTCGGATCCGACGGCAGAGAGGGCCCCCGGCGGACTTGAGAAGTGTACCGCGGCAGCGTTGAGAAGTTGTTCGCGTACGGGCATTGCGAAGTTCGTTTTCTGATGTTTGGGAGATGAATGTAATGATTACAAGACAAGAACCTTAGCCGCGTGATTAAAGGACGTCTCAGTTTCTCCGTTTATTGATAGAGAATAGTAGTTATGACTTGACTAAGCAATATTCATGACTGAGAGCCGATTGATAAGAGGAGGAATACTACTAATTGTGAAGCTGGCTATTGTTACGCTAGTCTTCGACAAGGAAGACATGGGAGGTGACTTGTCATCGGCATCGAGAAATGAAGAGAAAACCTTCCTATTAGGGTAGTTTTTGACGTACGAGAGTCTCCGGCTTCCGGGTGAGTTCCGGTTGAGATTCCGTCTCCGAAAAGATCTCATCTAGTCCCTGCGCAATACGTCAGGTGACGTGAGCTTGCTGGTTGCTGGTGGATGCCCAACTGAGCCAGGGGTTTAGTCGGAGATTTCTTACTTGAATAGACCGTTTCCGCATCATTTTCCGTGGCCCGGCAAAATCCATGTCTCTATTGCCTTATCACCGCGAATACTCTTCCTGACACTGCGCATTTGCTAATGATCTTTGAGTAGTCCATAATCCTAAACTGAACAAATGGTCGATCGGCGTTTTCGAACCTCTTCGGCAATGGGCTCAAGGTAAGAGGCATTCCGTCAAGTTCCGGAACGCCGCCTGCCACGCCGTCTGTCCCGCCGCTCTACTTTCCAGGAAAGGGTCATGAGATGGGGGCGAGAGCCACTAGGTTCCGGTGGGCTTGGAGGAAGACATTTGGTACCGGCAACATTTTCCAAGACGGGAAACTTTGCCTCGCAGCATGTCTGAAAAAACGAGCTGGTGAGCTGTCTCTTGACGGCATCGTACTCCACATGCTTTTGAATATATTGTCAAATAGGTTGCTCTCGCTGCCGTAGGTTGTGTCCATTTTGCGCATTTTTCATGCAAAATCTTTCCAATATAACTACACGATGTCGTTTCCCGCCATGTCACGGTCCAAGGAGGGTTATCTATGGACTCCTGACGGCACAACTGAAGGACTACCAACAGCAGCTGTGCTGCCGAACTCTCAGCACATCAAGCAATCTTATGACGTCGTAGTCATTGGCGGAGGCTTTGCAGGCCTCATCGCAGCTCGTGATCTGGCGAAGCAACCAGGAGTAAACGTGTTGCTACTCGAGGGGCGCGACAGGATCGGCGGGCGAACCTGGACCGCGTCCGTCCTCGGCGAGGAGTTTGAGATGGGCGGCACCTGGATGCACTGGTACGTGATCAGCAACGGCTCGCCCCTTTTTCTCTTTCTTTTGGGATTAATGGAAGCGGAATGACTGAGGCAGCTTAGGTGCCAACCGCACGTCTACACCGAACTCCATCGGTACGGACTTCATCGCAACCTCAAGGCTTCCGCGGGGGCTTGTTCCGACGCGAAGGCATTTTTCAAGCCTCGAAATGACACGGTCAAGAAATTGACGTCTGAGATGAATTGGGCCACGGCCGAGAGGGTTGCTACCCTCTTCTTCGGCATTGACGGTAACACGAGCCAGAGCCTGATGCCCTTCCCACACGAGCCCTTCCTAGAGCCCGCGCCTTGGAAGCAGTACGACGGCTTGAGCGTGCAAGACCGACTCGACCAGCTGGACATCACGGATCTGGAGAAGGACTATTTCAGTTCGCTCGTGAACTTATTCGGGTGCAACTACGCCGCAGACACTTCCTTCACGGAGGTCCTCCGGTGGTACGCTCTGGGGGGTCATTCGATGGCGGGAGCGTACGACCTCAGCGGTCTCTTCAAGCTCGGCAACGGGGGCATGACGTCTTTTGCTAAAGCGATCCGGGGAGAATTCACGGGTGACCTCTTGTTTGGGCAAGTCGTCACCGCGATCGAGCAGACAAGTTCGGCCGTGCGAATCACCACCGCAGAGGGCCGAGTCTTCAGCGCCGGCTTCGTCGTCTCGACGATTCCTCTGTAAGTCGGCAGCAGCGGGCCATCGCCTCAATTTTCTTCAGGCTGAACTAACCACTTCTCGCAAGCAACTGCCTGAGTCGAGTTGCGTTTGATCCTCCCCTGAGCCCTCTGCGGCGCGAGGCCGTCGACTACGGCCACCAGAACAAGGGAGCCAAGGTCCACTTCCGGCTCGACAAGATCGAATCTGGCTGGTTCGCCACGACCGCGCCCGACGGCTCGACGCCGTACCTGCTGGCGTTTTCGGACCACAACGGCACGAAGAGCACGGGGCCCGACGGGACCTACTGCCTGGCCGCGCTCCGGAGCGGAGTGTACCCTAACCTCCAGGACCACGCGAGGGTGATGGACGAGTTCAAGCGCGCGGTGAAGCCGGATGCGGAGATCACGGCGTACCTCAGCCACGACTGGTCGAACGACCCCATGGCTGGTGGCCAGTGGAGCTGTTGGAAGGGGGCTGCGATGAGCAGATACCTGCAAGAGCTTCAGAGGACGCATGGTAGAGTCTTCTTTGCCAGTTCAGATAGCGCGGATGGTTGGAGGGGGTTTATTGACGGGGCTATTGAGCAGGGAAAGAACGCGGCTCATCAGGTTGCCGGGTGTCTTGGCGAACGTCGCCGACAACTTCATGCGAACCTGTGACAACATGCACCAAGAGGCGATAACCAAAGAGAAAGACTTTTGTATAAATACAGCAGTTTGCTGGTATATGCCGCCTGATATTAATTAAAGCAACATTACTAGCTTTAGTGATGGTTTGTGTAAGTCATTGGGTTGGATTGTTGCCACGACTGCTTCTGGGTATATAAGCATCTTGTGAAAGCTGCATCATCACATATGCCCAGCTGAATTATTAACCTTTCTGATAGGTGAGATCACGCACGTCTCTCATCCATCGTGCTTGACGTCTGTGCCGAGCTTCTCATCCGACAACACGTCTGTCAGTCCCATGGAGGCCGCAATTTCGAGCAGGCGAGTCTTCTCCTCGTGTGCCGCCGTGTCACCGAACACCAAATCCATCTCTTCCAGGCTCTTTCCACGTGTCTCGGGGACGAAGAAGTATGTCATTACGAAGGCGATGAGAGCGAAAGCGGCGAAGAATAAGTAGGTCCCGTAACCAATTTTTTCGAGCATGTCCGGGGTGACAAGTCCGATAATGAAGTTGCACATCCAAGTTGCGCTCGTGGTGATAGACATAGCTTTCGATCTGTTGCCAAGGTTGAAGATCTCGGAAGGCAAGACCCAGCCAATGGGCGCAAACGAATAAGAGAAGTTGATATCGTAGATGTAGATGAAGGCAATTCCGGCCCAGCCTGCCGACTTGTTCGTGCGGAGGGACTCGCCGAACCCGCCAATGATGCCGCCCACAATGACAAGTGAGATGAAGGTTCCAGCGGCCCCGCACATGAGAAGAGGGCGGCGGCCCACTTTGTCGATGAGGAAGAGGGCGGGCAAAGTTGAGAGCGTGTTCACGATGCCGTACACCCCCGTTGCCAACAACCCAGATGTCTTTCCAGAGAGGCCAAGCTGGGCAAACATCGTAGGAGCGTAATAAATGACCGCGTTGCATCCAATAAATTGTTGGAAGAACATTATTCCTGACCCTAACCCTAGACGCCTAAATGCTGGCCATGACGATACCAGAGCTTGGTGTTGTGCGATGAAGAGTGAGAGGCCCTTCTTGCCGGGGTACCTCTCACGGTTTAGTGACTCGTCAAAAAGGACCTCGGCCTTAATCCCAAGGTATTCGGCGCGAAGAGACTCGGTATCTGGGTGCAAGCCACGTACTTTGGCCAGTGCTGCGAGGGCTTTGTCCTCCTTGTGACGCATGAGGTAGAACCGTGGGGACTCTGGGAAGAAGACCATGCCGAGACCCAGAACCAGTGCGGGGAAGATCTGGAGCCCAAACGGAACCCTCCATGAGGCAGAGGATTGACCAGTGCATCCGTCAGGTCCGACATCAGAGCGGGGGTCGAACGTGGGCAGCTCCGAGGTGCCACCGGTGTAGGGGATGTCGGGAGCACACCGGGTCCCGCCAATATACTGGGTGCCGTACTCGAGCCAGTAGCTGACAAGAATGCCCAGGGTAATGGAAAGCTGCTGCAAGACGACGAGCGTGCCACGGATATCAGGCACAGATAGCTCAGAGATGTACATGGGGACAATCATCGTCAGCATGCCGACAGCAAGTCCCGCAATGGCACGACCTAGGTCTTGATTAGCTATATGGATAGATCAAGCAGGCAACTTCGGTACGAACCGGCAAAAAGTAGCGGGACGTCGCTTGCAGCTGTCTGAAAGGCGGCGCCAAGGATGAAGATGACCACGGCAAGCTGCATCGAGCCCTTTCTGCCAAGCCAGTCGGCCAAGGGGCCATTGATGAGAGAGCCGAACCAGGCAAAAAGCAGCAAGGTCGAGACGAACCAGCCCTTGAATGTGCTGTCGATAGCAATGCGGGGGAACGTCGCCGCGAACGACTCCATGGTCATTACGCCTGACACGACGCCTTGATCATAGCCAAAGAGAAGCCCGCCAAGGGACGCGAACTGAAAGTTGTGTCAGCACCTTTCCATTACAGAAGATATCTCAAGTCGCTTACTGCTGAAAGTCCAAAGACATACGGGTTTTCGCGAAGCACCCGCCAAACAGACTTTTTGGGCATCACGACGTCCGGGGTCGTGCCGCCCTCAGCAGTGACAAATTCACCTGCCATGTTTGAACGAAGGTTAAGCTGAAGAGATAAAGTAACGCCCGATCTGACACGAGTTGTCGAATCCGGGGAATTTTTGCGGAGAGTTTTCTGGGGTACTTATATGCAGTCCGCGAGTGAGGGGTGACTCCATCGCAGTCCCAGTTATTGTGGGTGAGCAGGTGGCTCCGGACTGCAGCAGTCCGGGCCAATGCGAGGCTGGCTTCCTCCTCCGTAGACGGACGCAGATCTTGATGGATTTTGCTAGAGGCAGCATGGGTTTTCTCCACTTGTCGGCCAACAATGGTTCGGCCTATGGAACCTCTGCTCAACCCCCGGACGGCAGGAATCCGGCGTAATAGCAATGCAACATAACGATGTGCTACGATGGACTCCCACCGGCCGGTTGGGTGGATGTCCCAGCACAATACAAGTCTCCATGATTAGATCTCCCCTGCCGAAATATTTGACGGGACAACTCAAGTTCCCACGCCGTGTTTGATCGAGTGCTTGCCTTATTTTACTTCAAGGACGCGTCGCCTTGAGTCCAAAACCATGTATGAAAACCAGACGAGAACAGTTGCCAAACTGCGCGAGCGCGTAGAGAATCTCCTCTCTGAGCAGAGGCGTTCCCGACCGTCTTGCCGGGTTTTGATTGCTTTGGCTGGCGTTCCGGGGTCGGGCAAGTCTACCGTCGCGGCCACACTCATTGACGATTTGAAGAGACACGGAGTTGACGAGGCTGCAATCCTTCCGATGGTTCGTCAACCTTCCTCTCTTGACGACTACTTCCCAGGTGCTCACCATGTTGTCGATGATAGGATGGATTTCACTACCCACGCGCCGTACTTTCCTCCTTCGACGACCCTGATTTGGCCCTCAAGCGACGTGGCGCACCATTCACCTTTGACGCGCACGGCTTCTTGAAGCTTATACGGCGACTGAAGACGGTGCCGGTGACGACATGTGATGAGCCTCAGATCGTCATTAGCGCTCCTAGCTTCGACCATGCAGTGAAGGATCCCCTGCCAGACGGCATCACGATATCGTCTCGGACGAAGGTGGTCATAATCGAAGGCAACTACACACTCCTCGACGAGGATCCATGGAACAGCATCGCCGATCTCGTGGACGACAGGTAGGTTCCCTCGCTGAGAGGTTGCTGGTCCCGTTCACGCTAACATGCAATGTAGGTGGTTTGTCGACGTCCCGACAGACGTGGCACGAGAACGCCTCGCGTCCCGACATTTGAGGGCTGGGATTGAGGCAACGATGGAACGGGCCCTTTTGCGTGCAGAAGAGAACGACGTACCGAATGGCGATCATATCCGCTCCAACCTGATTGAGCCAACAGTCCGCATTCTGAACTAGGCATCGTCCCCTAGATAAGCTCCCGAACATCTACATTTCCAAGTTTTCGGGTCCGGGCCACCCCAGAAAGCTGAAAAAGTCGTCGTTCGGTTCGGCTGGCCACGTGGAGAAGTTCATCGACCAGGAGTCTGGATCAACGGTCGGCAAGTCGTCGGACCCAGTAAAATACCCGGGCATTAGGATTTCATCGAGAATGGCGGCACAGCGAGCGGCGAGCTGGTCCTTGGCAAAGACATGACGAAATATATGGCGAACTGTGTCGAGATGGACTTGCCATTGGGGCGCATCGGGCGACTCCGGGTCAACAATCAGGACGAGTGCAACCACCAGGGACGCATGGAACAAGAAGAAGCTGTAGTTCACAACCGTTAGAGCTTTCTCGCGATCAAGGCTACATTGCGTTTCCGTGACAGAGAGTGACTTACATTGAATACCATGTAACCAGCCTGGTGATGTCCCCGTGCTTGGTGTAATGTTCGATGGATGCGATTGATGCGATGGCGGCATGGACGGCGACGCTTCTGCACCGTTCATCAGACGAGCTGAAAGTGATTTGAATGCTTCCTCTGCTCTTGCTGACGGCTTGCTGCAGCACCAAAGGTCGAAAAAGAATGATTTTAAGATTCCAAAACCGCCACCAGAGCCGTGACTTGGTGAACAGAAAGAAGGGCCCGGCGGAGGGCCCGTCATAATCCAAGTGGAAATATGCGGGTAGCGACTCGGACCACTTGCTCAGCGTTGCATCCATGGAGAGCGCGCTCTCGGGAGATATGCCCGAGGATGACAGTAATCTATTCGAAATGAAGTTGGAGTGGACGTGGAGGTGGCTCTGCATCTTCAGGCCAGAGTACAGCGTCGGCTCGTCGACTTCCACAGGCAGTTCCGTCGTCCTGCTTGTAAGGCTCTGTATAGAATGTCAGAAACAGAAGCACACGCAGCCCACCCTATCATCTCAGCAAGGGCACCTACCATATCGTGAATGTTGAGCACTGGTCGAACATCCATAGCTTCAGTGTCCGGAAGGAGAATGGGCCTCCCAAACGTGGTTGAGGCGCCGCTGTCAAATATGTAGAGACCCCACCAAACTCGCCGACGCATCTCCCGCTGCAACTTGTTGATGCGCCAGCCTGGCAGCTCTCGGTGGAGACCCAGGCTGAGCGACATGCGAGTGGCAAGCCCTAAGAAATTAGAGCCTGTATTGGGTTTGTTCCGTTTCTGGCTGAGGTTGCTTAGAAGAACGAGGGCTTGCACGAATTCAAGGTTTGCGCTTTCGAATAGGGACTCGTCTTCGCCGAAGGATAGGGCATGGTGGTATAGTTCATCATCTAGCTCGCCCTGGGGATCGTTGAGGCACCAAGCGCCCAGTGCAAGTATGGTGTGGAGCAGCATGAGCCATGATCGCCGTTGCGGCCGCGGAATGACCTCGTGGAGCTGAGCCCTGAAGGTAGGCTCGTGGACAAACGGGTAAGCGCGGTGGTATATCGAGAAATAGCTCTCGATGAGCCGATCGATAACCTGCCTAGAGGCGATCACCTCGGACAGCTGGGAGGAGGCCGCAATAGCGCTGAAGCGTTCGTCTGCTCTGGGCGTGTTTTCGAGGAGCGGTTTCGTGTGTCCAGTCAAAGTCAACAGCGAGCGGAGGAAAAACACGCCTGCGGTTGAGCCTGAATCTGCGTTAGCCCTACTGCACTATCCATACTCGCTCATTGGGCCTTGCTCACCTAGGTATCCTGCGCCTCTGGGCTCGACAGAGAGTGATGCCATTCCGTCCGCAAGAGCATTGATATCTTCTTGCCAATCAAAGCCATCAGACTCTTCCGGCATGGCTTCCGTCATGGCGTTACCATCGCCGCTAGATGTCGTTGTGTTTGGTTGTGGCGATTGTGATGCAGGCGGCTCAGGGGCCTTTCGCGTGCGGCTTTCTGCAGAAAGTGCTCGATCAATGTCGACATCTGGAAGCATTTGCTTGAAGACATGCTCTAAACTGGCGAGACGGCTCTCCACGCTCGTCAAATAACTTGGAATTTGGTGTTAGCGAGCCAGCCAGGGCCAGGAAGTTGTGGGATGGCAGAGGCTCACGCGCGAGTGAGAGGCGATCGTTGGACTCTTCCGCTGTAATGGCATGATTTTGCATTCTGGATACAGGCATCGCATCTGGGTTTCTCTTTGGAACACTGCGGAAAATGTCAGACCTTATACTATTGGGGAGATTTGATGTCGCTCCGGGATGTATACGAACCTTGAGTTTTTTCACCCGACAGTAGTCACACTAGAGATGTTAGTCTCGGAGTCGAGTTGAACACTCCTGCTTTGAGGAAGCAAATAAACAATTGAACATAATAAAACTGAAACATTCATACAGCTAGGCCTGGTAATGATCTTGATTCGCTCATTGTTGGTGAGGTTCATCTGGGCGTGAGAGTGGCTGAAATTGTCACCTGTCAGGAGTGAAAACCTCGGCGGTGTCAGGTGTCAATTGAGGTATCTAAATCGGGATTATTACATATTCCACTCCGTCCATCTCGAAGGCGCGACGCGCCCCTTCAGGTTGTTGAAGCCATCACCAGCAAGGTCTTCTTCGCTCCGTCTAGAAGATGTCAGCGAGGGACGAAGTAGTATCCGGGCCGGTGTAATCCGGGGCCGTTGTTGTGTGCTCTTTTGGTTTTTGCTGGCTGGCTGTGTCAGTGAACTCCACAACCTCACGATGCCTGCGCTTGAAGGGGATCCCCGCCACCAGACCCACAACCCTGGATTTGGCCCATGCAACTTGACTTGCGGTGAAGGGTCCTTATCAAAATGGTCAAGGTTGTTTTTGTTTTGAATGACTTTGATGACGTCTGATGGAAGGGACATGGCAGACGAACGCTGTTGTGCAACGCATAGCGCGTCGGCCGTGATATCTCTGAGACGCGCATCCGGTCACGATAGCGCGCGGCGCTGGATGCAATTGGCAAATGATTGTCCGCGACACCCTGCTCTTTACCGTTTGGCCGGTGTATGCTCCGTACCTGTAAGACGAATATTTGCAGGAAAGGCAGTCGATACCCTTTGCTTATGTTGCACCTCGGGTACTTAGGTAACAACCCCCCACGTCGTCCACTTTACAAGCTAGATCGGGACGTTTCGTTCTTCAATTCTTAGTCAAAAGTATGAATTTCCCCTCCACACAGAGGCAGAATAGTTGCATGTCGGAATACAACTCGTGAGCACCAGACGCGGGGAGAAGGAACCATTTTCTGGACGATTACCCCGCTCCAATGCAGCTCTCAAGCCCGCGTATGGCCACGAGCCCACGATTGACGGTGATTGCAAACGATGCCCGCAGGAATCTGAATCAGGTGGACCGTTGGGTGGAGCCAGATTCCGGCAAAATGACAGCCATCATTTCAGGGTCCAGGTTGTTGTACAGTGCACGAATGATGAGTTGTCAAAACGTCGAGGCTATCGCGGTTGATGGTCGGAAGAGGAAAAGGTGCGAGAGACAACGAATACCAAGATCTGGAAGTCGGTTGCATTGTCTGGGGTAAGGCGGTGGTTGCAGGATAAACCCTCAATGTGCAACGGCGACAACGTGCTGGGATTTTTTGGGGCGCAGAGAGGGATGATCCCGAAAATAGGACGCTGGGATTGAGAGAAATGACGTCGAGGGTCGGAAGCGGCCAACCGACCGTTGCGGGTCCGCTACGGCGAAGCGCTTCGGCATCGTCGTCGTCGAAACGGGGCCGTGTGCTTCGCCACAGCGACCGTTGGAAGACGCTGGAAACGCCTGTGCTGAACGGCGGGCGGGGGGAACGGGAACGGGAACGGGCGACGCATGAAAATTCCATCGTCAATTGACTTTGGCATGTGCGAGCCGCACCGGCGAAATTCAAAGGCGATCCGCCACGATCGGGCCGCGAATGATCTTCGTCTGAGGGTGTTCTGAAGCTTTGCGGTTACCTCAAAGATTAATTGGTTCAAACGGAGGCTCAATGTCAATTGGGCACATCCTCCTACCCTACAGCAGAAAACATGCATGGGCGGTTGTCGTCGGCCACAGGAACTCCTTGGAGAGAGATGGTCCGAAGGGCCGACTGCAACTGGAAAACGGCGGTTGATCCTTTCCCCCGGGTCGATGGGGGATAACTGGACCTACCCACAAATCGAGTCAGCATTTGGTTTCACGTGCGTGGTCAGCGTATTTTGAAGTTTGGGGGGCCTCACATAATTAGATAATGATGCTGCGGCACGTAAAGTTGAGGTTGGCCGCCAAGCTAGGAAATGTAGCGTGTGGTTGGCGTGCGGCGGCGACGGCGGACAGGTGGTCGGGGGCGCCATGGCGGGTTGGAAAGTGAGTGAGTGGGAAGGGAGTGGAGGGATTGTGAATCTGGAGACGAGTGGGCTGAAGCAGATTGGACGAGATGAGAGACGAGACGGGGGACGCGTAGCACACTGGCGGAGCACCTACTATCTGACGGATACCTCCCATCAGTAGGCGGGTGTTTCTGTGTGCTGAACGTGAGGTAATCAGTACTGCGGTACTGTGCCTACATAGTACCTATGGATTTGCACCGCCAATCTCTTACGGCCTCATCTCTTGATTGCGTTGGCAGATTGGCTACGCCGTCCCGTCCGGCACCCAGATCCCAGCTGTCCCAAGAGTCGCAGAGTCCCGGTGTCCCGCCCTCAGCTCTCGTTACCCCCTGCGCCAGGCTCGGATAATCCTCATTTCAGGGGAAGAGGGAAGGGAACATCTGTTAACTCTGAAGCCGAAAGGCAAAGAAAAGGAGGTCTCGTGCTGCACCCGAGGGAGGCTCCCAAGTCAACCACCTTCAACCATTCCGACCATCTGACACTCCTTTGGCCATACATCCCCGACTCGCCGCCTCGAAAAAAAAGGGCACATGACCGACGTCTTGACCCTCTCGTTTTATGCCTGCAATTGCCATTGACCACCATTTCCCCCATCATCTGTTCTGTTCGGTATCCAAGACGTACCGCTGCGACGCCAGCAGATCCAG